ACGTGAAGGAAAATCCCTGTAGAAAAAGCTACAGAAAAGAAAGCAGCCACAGCCAGGTCAGCTTCAGGGTTGACAGGCTGCCCCCCCTCCCCCGGTCGATTGAAGGAACCCTCAACCCCCAAAAGCTTTTCAAACTGGACAACTTTACGATGTATGGACTTCAACTCCCAGAATTCCCAAGCCAGCATGTAGTTGTCCCTTACCCAAAAATAAAAGTGGACTTCTAGGCCATTGGTTTCTTAATCTGGTTTTACCTTATTGAGCTGACATGGAATAAATGAAACCTATCACCTTCCTCCCTACAGTTCTACACTGGAAGAATACGACCTATGCCCCAAAGGATGACGTGTTCTCCAACCGGGATGGAAAAATCACAATTAGCAAAGGCGGACGGTATTACATCTATGCCCAAGTCACCTTTTGCAGCAAGCCACAGTTGCCTGCCCCACTCATATTCAAGGTCCACGTCTATCTTGACCTGCCGTTGGAGACACATCAACTGCTAATGAAGGGTGTTGGGACTTACAACACTGCAGTGGACCTGTGTGATTTGCAGTCCATCCACCTGAGCAGGGCTGTGGAGCTCCAGTCGGGCCACACCATCTTTGTCAACGTAACGGACATCTCCAGAGTAGATTTCAACTATGGGTACACCTACTTTGGCCTTATTCAACTCTCCTAGAAAAAGATGCTTCATTCTGGGTCCCGCCATCCCTTCTCCTGTCCTCCAACCGTATTTATGAACTCTCTGGTTCTATTTCTTTTATAGACATATTTTATTTAATTTATTAAGCAGGGGGGGGAGGGTGAATTGTTCAAATCTGAAGGTTATCAAATATAGGCGGCCCTGAATATGAGAGCAATAGTTTGTTCCATGTTGGAAGGCTGAGCGCTGCCGGTTTCAAGACAGCATCTCACGTGGCTTCCAGGACTGTTGCTGAAGGAGAAATCTGGGCGCCTCTCGTTCTCATGCGTGCTTTGCTAGTAGAACTCACTGATGGACCCATATCTCAGTGGGGAAGCATCTGCTGCATCCTGGAAGCCCACCCCAGGTCACAGTTACCTCCAAAGTGGACTAAGAAAGACCCTAACTGCTTGTTCCTCAAGATCAACCAACGCTCCCCAATCTGATGTTCTTCAAAGGTGCTGAGATGCCAACTGCAAACATGTCTAGTCAACATGGCCAGCTTTGCATAACGTGTAAACCCTCCTATGATTATATATGAGTATATTTTATACAAGACTGTTTAACACAGTTGGAAGGGACTTTGGAGGTCTTCTAGCCCAACCACTGCTCAGGCAAGAGAACTTAATACCATTCCAAACAAGGAGCTGTCCAATCTCTTCTTAAAAACCTCCAGTGATGGAGCACCCATAACTTCTGGAGTCAAGTTGTTCCACTGATTAATTGTCCTCGCTGTCTGGAAGTTTCTCCTTAATTCCAGGTTGCTTTTCTCCTTGATGAGTTTCCACCCATTGCTTCTTGTCCTGCCTTCTGCTGCTTTGGAGAATACTCTCCCCTCTCTGGTGACCCCTTAGAACAGGGGCTTCAAACTTGGCAAGTTTAAGACTTGTGAGCTTCAACTCCCAGAATTCTTCCTCCAGTTATGTTAGCTCAGGAAGTCTGGGAGTTTGAAGTCCACAAGTCTTAAACTTGCCAAGTTTGAAGACTCTTGCCTTAGCTATTGGAACACTGCTATCATGTCACCCCCCCTAGTCCTTCTTTTCATTAAACTAGACATACCCAATTCCTGCAACCTCTTTTCGTATTTTGGACCCAAGGAAAAAAAATTAGGTTCCCTAAGATGAACTTCTTGCTGAAGTAGCCATGAGATGATGAAATCTTGGCTCAGATGGTTCCCAAACTCACAGCTCGAAGTGATGTTGTGTAGGATCAAAGATGACAACTCCTTAGTCTTGTGTTAAATAGGCTCCTATAGTTTGGGCCAGGGATCTCCAACCTTGGCAACTTTAAGACTTGTGGACTTCAACTCTGTTCTTGGAGTTGAAGTCCACAAGTCTTAAAGTTACCAAGGTTGGAGACCCCTGCTTTAGGCAACCAGCTCTAATGAATTATAAATATGTTGGTTTAGCAGAGTCGACGGAAGTGGTTGTGTGCATGATGAAAAGACAAAACAATTCCATCTCATCCTGTTCTTAAACAGCCTGCCAAAATGGTTGAACCAAAACATTTTCTTTTGCTGATGTTTTCTGCTTAAACTTCCGGGTTGTTGTTTTTTTTAAGGGAGATTTTTGCAACGACCTCCTTTCGTTTTTAGCCAAAACTAAACCACTCCGAGGAGAAATAACCAGACAGACCTAATATCATGAAAGATGACACGTACGCTTGTAAAGGCACAGCCTGTTTTCTTTTAAAAATCCTCTTTTATTTCCTTGAAAACCAAAATTTTAAAAATTTCTCAAAATAAAAATATTTTTTAGAAAACAAGGGGTTTGATTGCATCAGTTGTGGTGGGCCGGAAATAAAAACAGAACAAGAGAAAAATCGAAAAGCAACGAAAGGAACAAATAAGATAAAGTCTTAACAGAAACCTATTTACATAAAACTGTAAATATATATTTATATGTATTTATATATATATATATATATATATATGCATATTATCCAATCAGGTTCAAATGGCTTCTATTCCTTTAGTACAATTGTATATCCTTCCTTTTTTTTAAACATCACAATCCTATGCATTTTGTGGAAACTCTCTCTGAGTTCCTTGGATTTCTCTGAAAAATGTGGAATTTTTGCAGCCTTAATTTTCCTTAGAACAACAACACACACAAACATATTATAACACCTGATGCATATAGTGGAAACAGGCCAGTATTTCCTAAATTTTGGAGGCTTGGACACAGTAATTTCCTTGGCTGACCAAGCAGAGATGGAATTTATGCTTAGCAAGGAAGTCCAAAGGTTTGTGTTGTAGTTTTCTGAAAAAATTAGCAATCCTTGAGAAATCAAGATTATGTATTATATAATCTCTTGTGCCCAGAGATTTCATGGTTTCCTTGATTGCCAAGAACAGATCAGCATAATATTCTTCTTCCTATGTTGAAGTTGCTGCTCGTTCCTGAGGGGCCACCTCAAACTTGAAGAGAGGTGGATTTGTGGATATTGATTTCAACTCACCCCCGACATGCTCCAAATACAGTTTTGGAATTGCTTAGGACACCTATGGATCCAAGTTTTGGGAAGCACCTGGCTGGGAGTAGTAAGGAAGCACAGAAACAAGTGAAGACACCCAAGATCATGCGGGGGGCCTCTGAAGATCATCTCGGCATTCAGCTCAGGCAGGTGTTCTTCCTCCCCACTGCTGAATTTAGGAAGGTTTGAGGAGAGGTGCCTCCAGGTATGTTCTCAGAAGTTGGCAATGCTCGGTGCTGTGTGGCTAGCACCACCAAAACAACCTTCAACTCCATCGCTCCCCCAACTAGAGAAGCGGTCCAACTTTGACCATTGTAAGACCTGTGGACTTCAACTCCCAGAATTCCCCAGTCAGAATAGCTGGGAGTTGGAAGTCCACAGGTCTTAAAGTCGACAAGGTTGGACATCCCTGGTCTAGATGGTTTGAACCCTTTCAAGAAGCTCCTTTATAAGATAACAGCTGAACTTGGAAACCTATCACACTTTTTCTTTTTTTAAAAAAAGAAGGCCTACAAGGTAGGTTCATTATCTTCTTCTTCTT